AAAAAAAAGGAGGGTGGGCTTGCTGTTGTTAGCAGTGATGACAATCCCTCTTACAGCCTGATACCCTTTTTTTTTTTTTTGTGATTGAACTGGATGCTTATGTGTGCAGCAGTGATGAGAGGTTGGTGGACGATGTCTGCTTTAGGCAAAGAGGAGAGGCCAACTGTGCTACTCTGCTATTGCCGAAGGATCTTCGGCAGAAGATGGCGACGGCGATGAAGGGAGGCTGTTTATGGAGAGGATAAGAGATGGGGAAATGGGAGGATAAGAGAAGGCAAGCGCACAATATACAGACCTGGGTTCGAACTCGGTGAGAAACAAACAGAACATGGTGTCGTGTACTCAGTGGAGAGGCAGAATGATTGATGATTCTTTACTGCCATCTGTCAATTCTCTCTAGTGATCCAAGTGTCTACTCATCTTGTGTAGGCAGATTTGGGAGAGGGGGAGGAGGTCTGCTCGATCGTCGGAAGAAGTCTAAAATTACAGCAAGCTAGAAGAGGAGGGGGTCGGGGGGAGGAGGGGGGAGGTGGGGCAGGGAGGGATGTGGAGGGGGKGGGGTGAAAGGAGGAAGGCGAGCAATACACAGATGAATATATATTGTCCTTCTTTCTTTCTTTTGCGCTCTGATATTCATGTGATGATATATATAGATCTATAGATATATTGTCAAACAGAACTGCCTACGGTAAAGCATAGGCAGAGAGGGAGAGAAGAGGACAACAAACTAGGGGCTGTGACAAAACTGTTTCGACGGAGTTTCCCTGACCGACTGACTCATCAGCAGGAGGCTGAAACCTCTACAGTCTGGAGAGTCCCTTGACCAATTACATTGCAAGTGGTAATCCACCTTAACCCCGGTTGTGGTTAAGCATCAACGACTGCCCAACAACCGTTACCCTTCTGAGGTGGTGGGGACCACCAACCACTTCCCCCTCAAGGTACCTGTGTACATATATTATCATTCTGTCTGCAGACAGAGAGACGGACAATGGAATCGGCAATTGAAGCTTCAGTCGCCATCACTGCGGCCAAGGTACAGGTGCTTTTGCGTAATCGCGACGAAGTGGATGCTTTTCAAGAGCTTGTAGAGGGTTATGGCCTCTATTTGGGGCTTGCGACGGAGGCAGCGGATCGTGTTTGTGTACTAGAGAAGAAGCTTGTGCAAGTACAAGATGACAGGGACACAGTGGCTGCGGTCCTCCAGCGGACTGAACGAACGATCCAGAGGTCTCCGGACATCGATGCTCTGGAGGCGAAGGTCGCGGCATTACAACAAGATCTGGGCCAAAGCTACAAGGCAAGTGCAGAAGTGTCTCAGCAGCTCGTGCAGGCCAGCAGCCTTGCGCAGTCCCTTCGGGAGGAGTTGGAAGAGAAGAAGAAGGTCGTCGTGAATCTTCAGGAAAGCCGCGCCGTGGCCGACGCCAAGGTTGATTACCTGGAGGGTGCACTGAAGGAAAAGACAAATGCCGTAGAGCTGGCATCAATGGAGGCAGAGGCAGCAGTGAGGGAGAGGATCGAAGTAGAGGAGAAACTTAGGATTGCGGAGGCCGAGAACCGCAGCTTTGTGGATAAGCTGATGGAGTTTAAGTTGAAAGAGGCGGAAAAGATCAATGAACTCAATGCCATGTACGAAGATATGGTGAAGCAGTTCCAAAGGACCCAACTCCAGGTAATGAGAAAGCAGGGTTACCTTTCTTTCTGCGGTTTGTTTGGAATAAACGTTTTTTTCAATGAACTCTCTCTCTCTCTCTCTCTCTCTCTCTCTCTCTCTCTCTCTCTCTCTCTCTCTCTCTCTCTCTCACACACACACACACA